GCTTCATGCATGCTAGGCAAGCACTCTACCAACTGAATACAACTCTAGCTCCCTTAACATACTTTTAAAATCTTAACTTCTATACAGTTTGTAAGAATAACTGTCTAACATTGGGAGCTCACACGCTAATCAGTTTTCCATTACAGTAACAAAATACTTTAAATAATAAGTAACAAAATACTTAGGGGAAAAGATTTATTTTGGCTCACGTTTTTGAGTCCATGGTTGGTTGGCAGTATCGCTTTTGGGCGTCTAGTGAGGCAGTGTATCATGATAGGAGCACATGGTGGACGTGTTCATCAATATTTCTTGTTTTTTAAAAGTTCTCTTCAGAAGCACTTTCAGAATTACCTCTGTATCAGTCACTTTTTTGTTGCTGTGATAGAAACACTGACCAAAACAACTTATAGAAGAGTTTATTGAGCTTACGGTTCCAGGGGAATTACAGTCCATCCTGGCAGGGAGGCATGGTGGCTGGAGCAGGAGCAGCAGAAACTAAGCTCTCACGTCCTCAGGCAGGCACAGGAAGGAAGAGAGCAACTGGAGATCCAGCAAGGTTTAGGAACTCTCTAAGCCCACCTGCAGTGACATGCTTCCTCCAGGATAGCCACACCTTCTAAAACCTCCCAAAAGAGCGCTATCATCTGGGGACAAAATGTCCCTGGAGCCTATGGGGGACATTTTCATTCAAACCATCACAACTGCCCTGAATGTTAAAATCTTTCACAATACTGTGAATGAAAACTCAGAATAAAAAATGTAACGGCTTCTGAGTTTATTTTCCTGTCCCCGTTCTGCCTGTACAATGCAAACCAAAGTGTTGGAATGTTTACGGCATGCAATGGAAAATAACTTAACTTTCCAGAAGGTTGTTAATAGTGATATCAAAAGTCGAAAATCCATCAAGATGGATGCTGACTCTCCCTCCCCATTCTCATAGCTCCAATACTTCAATCTGTTATTTATTCATTTATTATTTATTTATTTATGTATTTATTTATTATTTAATTTTTGACATGGGATCTCATGTAGCCCAGGCTGGCCTTGAACACTCTATGACTTAAACTCCTCATCCTCTATCCTCCACCTCTCAAGTTTCAGATTATAGGTGTGCACCAACCCCACCAGCTTTTATGCAGTGCTGGGGATGGAACCCAGGGTGTCCTACATGCTAGGCAGGCACTCTACCAAACTTAACCACATTCCCAGACCCTACTTCAATCTTTAAATTGAGGAAACAAAGCAAAAAAAAAAAACAAAAACAAAAACAAAAAAAAAAAACCACCAAGGACAAATAGTCCAGTCCTTTTGCTTCTTTTTTGACAGTGGTCTCTCTTCCAACACTGGTTTCTCGTCCCTGCACCAATCCTTTAAAGCCCTTCATCTCTCAGTCAGAAAAGGCGTCAGGGCCCACTAATGGCCTTCCTCCTCACAGCCCTGTCCCAGCAGGGAAGGATAGCCTCACCTATAAGACGGGGCTCTCCCCACTGTGGCAGACAAGCAACTAGACAGTCAAGAAGGAAGGCTTCCCTCCCCCTGGGGTAAGTGTCTGAATATCAGGACATACCCACAAGACCTCACTTGGTCCCCCTAATCCCTATCTCTTACACAAAAGTTCTACCACTTCCCCAAAACAGTGCAGGCCTAAGCTTTAACACATGGATGGGGAGGGAGTGTGATTTCATGTGCTTTTCTAAGATACAGCACATTTCATTCGAATTTTCTTCTTTTTAAATAATTTGTAAAAATATTTTACTTATTATTTGTATGTGTATGTATTGCCTGCATGTAGGTAAGTGCACCTGTGTCATGCAATGCCCATGGAGGACAGAAGAGGCTGTTGGATCCCCTGGAACTGGAGTTACAGACAGTTGTTAGCTGCCATGTGGGTGCTGGGATTCGAACCCAGGTCTACTGCAAGAGCAGCCAGTGTTCTTAACCACTGAGCCATCCCTCCAGCCCCTCATTCTAATTTTCTCAGCAAAGGCCAGCTGCAGAAGACATTCATTACACAAATAAATGGGTTCTAGAGCTCAGCAGTAGAGCACTTGCCTAGAATGCATAAGACCCTAGGTTCAATCCTCAGTACTATGAGGAAAAATTCAAGTGAATTCAAAGTAAATCTTACAAACATCATGAATTAATTTTTTAAAATATTTTATTATTTTTATTTTTGTGTATGAGTGTGTTGCCTACATGTGTGTAAGTGCACCCATGTCATGCAGTGCCTGCAGAGGTCAGAAGAGGGTGTTGGATTCCCCTGGAACTAGAGTTACAGACAGTTGTTAGCCGCTATGTGGGTGCTGGGAATTGAACCCCGTCCTCTGCAAGAGCTACCAGTGCTCTTAGCTGATGAACCATCTCTCCAGCACATAGTTTTTTTTTGTTTTTTTTTTTCAAATGTTTCATAGATTCTCACTATGTAGTCCTGGCTGGCCTGGAACTCACTATGTAGACTAGGCTGGCTTCAAACTCACTGAGCTCCACCTGCCTCTGCAGTGCTGGGATTAAAAGTGTGCATCATCATGCCTGGCAAACTTCATGAGTGTTAAAGCAGTAATCAGAGCTGAAGGTACCTTTCAGGGCTACCACATCTCTAAGCGCACGCAAGGCTCTAGGTTCCATCCCCAGCACCAGCACCAAAAAAAGAGAACAGGGTAGAACATGATGGTGTGCACAGCACACCTGCAATCCTAGCACTCAGGAAGCTGAGGCACAGAGATTAAGAATTCAAGGCCATTCTGGGCTACATAGAGACCTTGTCTCAAAATTAAGTAATAAATAAATAAATAAATAGATGGAGTAACAGCAAATACAAAGACACCCCAGTGGTTTCTTTGTTCTTTTTTAAGAACATTATTTTTATTAATAACTATCCTTAAAGCCCCCTCTAAACTATTTCTCTTTTTTCTTCACCTCACTTTTGTGTCTGTTCTCACATGTAAACCCAGCGCGTGTATGTCCAGTTGGCACACAGGTGCCTTGACCAGAAGGGTGGAAGGTAAGCTGTTCTTCATGGTGAAGCTGGTCGCTGGCTCAGTGTATACAGGCATGAAGGATTAATTCCTACAAAGACTGCTGTTTGCTGGCAGGAGCGGCCTGTTTTCCTTAGTGCCTTTTGGATGAGACTTTCTTTACAGTCACATTTTCTTCTCATTCATTTCCTCCCCGCCTCGATCTCTTTCTTTCTGCCTCTTCTTTCTTCTTTCTCTCCAATCCCATCATCTTTCCATATCCTTTCTACTTCATCTACAGAAAAGACACATCTTTTAAAAGACATGCCTGAAAGAAAAGGCTTGAAAACAACAATCATTTTTTTTGAGTTCTAGGAAGCCTTTATCAAAATGTCCTTTTTTTTTCCCTGATATGATTTCCTTAAAAACAAAGGTCATCTATATTACCTTTCACCTATGGTAGTTAATATTATGTATCTTTTAATAAACCACTGAGTGACAAATGCATTCACATTTAACATAATATGGGACAAAAATCTAAGTGACAAAAAAACCCAGAAAGCTTGGGTCTTTAATCAGCAAGGATAGGGGCTGTCATGTTTGATTCTCTTCTGGGTTTGATTCAGAAAGAAGGGACTAATAATACTTGCCTCATTAACTAGCATGCTGGGTAGATTAAAGTGCTTTGTAAACATTAATTAAAGATGCAGAAAGTTAGGTGAGGCCAGTGTGTTATTAGAGAAAAAGTTTTCTTCCCTTTAATCAGGTACCTCTTCTTCCTGGGGAGGGCAAGGCATGATCTAAGGACTAAGGAATTGAGCTCAGCCCTGACAAATGCCAGTGACTCAGTAATTCTTGCCGCCTGCCACTTCCTTCCTTGGTTTTCTGTGAAATGGGGATAAACACAAATATTTTTGGAATACAAGTCATTATAATGGTCGTCATTCAAGCACATAACAAATCCTACAATTAATAAAACTCCACACCTCTTGCTTTCTCTGACCTTGGCAAAGTGTTCCACCTCGTGGAAACAAACGCTGGTAACACTAACTCCCACCCGCTTACAGAAGCGTTTCACAACTGGCTGTTAACCTTAGCAGATACTTCCAGTGATAGGGTGAAGACCTGGTAAAAGCACTGGGGTCAAAGACTGGGAGTTTCTTCAGCTCTCGAACTCAGTGTTCCCCTTCGTAAACTGAGATAAGAAGCCTGACAAAAGGCCAGCGGTAGAGGCACTTGCTACAAAATCTGACGCCCTTAAGAGTCCGATTCCACGGGTCCACATGGTAGAAGGAGAGAACCAACGTCTTCTCTTCTGACCTCCAGCTGTGTGCAGTGACACAGACACACACAACTGATGAAAACAAGAACAAAAAAAACCCCAACCTGGTACGATGTTGACATGTTTTCATTGCAAAGAAATAACTAAGGAGATGTTAATGCTTACTGTGATATGACCGCTGGACAATGTATGTATTGGCAACATCACATAGGTACCGCTCATATTTGTACAGTTTTTACGTGTCCATTCAAAACAATGTAAATGGGAAAAAAGAAGACAAGGTTTGTCTTAAGAATTAAGTGAAGGAATGTATATGTGCCTTGTCCGAGGGCATATGTACGGCGGTTATTATTATTAAATGAAAATAATTTTTGTAGCATAGAGTTGTTGCTGGATGCCTGTAATCCCAGAAGTCGGGCAGCTGAAGCCGAAGGCTCCCAGAGTTTGAAGTCTTTTGGGGGGCGCGCTCAGACCCTGCTTCAAAAAGCAATCAGCCCTCAAAGTCCGGGCTGGAGTCACTGGAGACGTCCTTCCCACTCAGAGCTTCAAACGCGTGTCGGTGTCACACTTCTGCTGACCACCCCCAGTTTACCGGGCTGGCTGGGAGGCGGGCGGCCGGGCGGGCCCCGGGGGGGACCTGGCCCTTTAAACCCCGCGGGCGCGCGGAGGGCGTCTGGGGAGGAGGCGGGCGGGGCGGGGCACGGGAGCGAGCAGGCGGCTCGGGAA